AAAGAGCACAGACCACAACCCATAAAATAACATTTAGGCGTGGGCTAAGTTCTGATATGTTGAAGTGAAGTGGTGAAGGCTGAAGCTGGCAGGGCTCCGGGCCCTTCTGGAGAAGGGCTTTCTGTTTTTCCATGAAATACTTGTGAGCATTAAAGACTTTAGATCATTCCAGAAGTCCACCTACCTCCTCACCGAGAGAATTTCAAGAGCTAAAAGCGCCTGTCCACATATATATGGAGGGAACTCTAATTAGAAAAGGCACCTGCACGCCAGTATTCACAGCAGCACTGTATACAGTAGCCAAGTCATGGAAGCAGCCTCAATGTCCAGCGGCAGATGACTGCATAAAGAAGCCTTGGTACATATATATACAATGGAATACTACTCAGCCATCAAAAGAGTAAAATAATACCACTTGCAGCAACATGAGTGGACCTGGAGATGATCATTCTAAGTGAAGTAATTCAGACAAAGAAAAATACCATATGACATCACTTATATGTGGAACCAAAAAAAGACACATAAATTAATATATGTATGTTCATGTATGACCGAAGCATTGTGCTGTACACCAGAAACTGACACAACATTGTAGACTGACTATATTTCAATAAAAAGATATATAATTTAAAAATTTTTAAATTTAAGACACAGATGAACTTATTTACAAAACAGAAACAGACTCACAGACATAAAAAACAAAATTATGGTTACCAGGGGGGAAGGGATAAATTGGGAGTTCAGGATTTGCAGACACTAACTTCTATATATGAAACAGATAAACGAGAAGTCTCTACTGTACAGCACAGGGAACTATATTCAGTATTTCATAGTGACCTACAATGGAAAGGAATATATGTATGTTTATGTGTGACTGAGACATTATGCTGTACACTAGAAATTGACACAACATTGTAAACTGACTATACTTCAATTTTTTTTAAATGGGGGGGATGTGCCCGACCATGGTGGAGAGGGCTGGGGAGAATGTGGGTCTCGCACGGCCCTTCATGATGGTTAAGCCTGAGGTTCAAGGGGGACGTGAAAGAGCTCTGGGCCCACCTGAGACCTGGATTCTCACCTGACTCTGTCACCTGTGCTTGGGGGACTCCCGTCACCCCTCTCACAGTGCTCATCTGGGAATTCAGGGAGGCACCTGCACCGCTACTTCCAGGGTACTTCCTGGTGTGAGCCCCGCCTCTGCCCCACGCCGTCCACCCGCCTCCTGCCCAGCTGCCTTCTGCCGCTCCCTCTCTGTGCCGGTTTCTCTGTCCCAGACCACCTGCTGCCTGAACCCCTCTGCTGTGCTCTGGTGCACGTTACCTGCCTCAAGTGTCCAGGACGGGGGTGCTACCTTCTGTGCTATGGTATTTACCACACTGAAATTACATATTTTTCTTAACAGCTTTTACCTATCTTTCTAAACTGCCAATGCCCTATAAGAACAGGGGTCTTAATTCACGTTGAATTCCTGCAGGTCCCAGCCATACCTGGCACACAGCAGGTGCTCCAAAGACACTGGATGAATGGGTGAATAAAAATGGGTCAAGTGCAAGTGATTTCCCACCAAAAGCTCTAGGTCTGTGTCTGCCCCTCCGCATGCCCTTTGATCAATGCAAACACCTAGAGGTTTGTGAGAAGCCAGAGAGAACACTGCCGATCAGAACCCACAAGAACCCCAGGGCAGCAAGTGGACTTCCAGACCCCTTGTCCACTTTCAAAGCA